AATGTAGTTGCTCGGTCTAGTGCAGAAGCAGAATACCGAGCAATGGCTATGGCAACATGTGAACTAGTCTGGACCAAACAATTGCTCAAGGAGTTGAAATTTGGTGAAATCAGTCGGATGGAACTTGTGTGCAATAATCAAGCTGCACTTCATATTGCATCAAATCCGGTGTTTCATGAGAGAACTAAACACATTGAGATTGATTGTCACTTCATCAGAGAAAAGATACTCTCAGGAGATATTACTACGAAGTTTGTGAGATCGAATGATCAACTTGCAGATATTTTCACCAAGTCCCTCACTAGTCCTCGCATTGATTATATATGTAACAAGCTCGGTACATATGATTTATATGCTCCGGCTTGAGGGGGAGTGTTAGAGATAGCTATATAAATGTTAGAGATAGCTATGTAATTGTCCCACATTGGAATAGGAGTAGTATCCCCTTTGTATAAAGTAGCTATAAATAGTACCTCTTGTATTGCATCACACACAATATCAATATATCATATTTTCTCCCGTGCCTTCTCACGCTTATAATGAGCACATCTAATAAGTTCTTTTCGTCCCAATTTTTATGTTCTTGGTTGCCTTTCATGGAGCTCAGCAGTTTAATGTTTTTGTGAAGTATTAGATTTGAGTTTGATGGTTAGTTGTGAAAATGGTGGTTGGAAAATGTATAAAGGCTATAAAGATGTCAGATGGAATGAGAGTACATGTTAATTTTACTATTTTGAATCACAAAATTTGTCATTTAAATGACCAAGCGTATGACCTTCTTGCTTAAATGACAATTTTATTTTTCCATCTCAAAAAAAGATTTTTTGTCATTTAAGCAAGGAGGTCATACGCTTGGGAATAGAATAAACCACAAATGCAGGGTAGCGAGTCAGACAGAGAGTACAATAGATATCTCATAATTCATTATCAACTACTCAGGAATTGGCTGTATTCTTGTTGTGTACACTAACTACATCCTATATTCTTTGAAGACTTGCCTTTTAAAATCTTTGGTGTATATTGTAGTTAGCTTTTGATACTTCCGAGGGCTCTTCTATTCCATTGTACTAATGACTAACATTAAGTTTCTCAACTTCTCCAGCTATTGATCAACAACCTTGATAGAGATCTGCAGTATGCCATTGTAGTTGAGGGGAAGATGGATTTGGAATCTGTCATAAATTATGATGAAGTGAAGAATGCCGTTATGGAAAAGGTAATGTGTCCTTTGTTTTTCATTTTTAATAGTTTTGGCTGAGTTGAGGCATTCAGCCATCTTTATGTGTCTTTTATCTGCCACATGAGAGATTTGACAAGTATTCTCCTGGCACCGAAGGCCATATCCGACATGAGTGGGATTTGGTGTCTTGGAAGTTCGAGATTTCCTTTTTGTTTTCCTCTTATTGCGTTACTTAATAATCTGAGAAAACCCTTTAGATGTATGCTGAATCTTTATCTCCTCTCAGACCATTTTTTTTAAAATCATAACCGTCTTAACCATCTAAGTGCAGTTAATGAGATTGCGAGATAATCCTTTAACGGAAGAATGTCCCCTCATATATCACCTTGATGTCGCTGCAATGTATCCAAACATCATATTGACAAATAGGCTTCAGGTATATCAGTTTTCATTTCATTTTGTGAAGAATGTTCTTCTCTGGCGTGTTAGTGCACATGACTTTTGTTACTTTCTTTTGCCCATATTGAATGAATTCTTTTTCCTGTTCTGAAAGCTTAGATAAGTTGGAAGTCTGTCTTTCAGTTTTAAATGGAGGAAATTGTGGGCCAACAAGTTATTTTTGTATGTGTATATTTTAGGAATTTGATAAGGTAAAAAGAATTCCCAGACCCCATACTGTGGGAATACACACACTGGGTTTGTTGTTGTTGTTGTTGCTAAAGTAAAATGAATTTGGACGAGGGTAAAACACACTTTAAATTTTTTTCTCTTATTGAAAAGTATATGTTAAAATTTATTTTAGGGAAGTGGACATATCTTAAAGAATTTCCCAGAGGGAGGTTAACAGTCAATTCAGAACAGAGGGAGTAGTTTTTGCCAATTTGTTCACTACCTACCAAATGTCAAGACAAATACTATATCCTTTTTTTGGACAAGGTAAATAATTTTACTAATGGTGGGGAGGCCCCCGTATACTAGCTGTATGGCAAAAATAAATTTTCTTTTAACGTCTTTGTTTGTCTGGAATGCAAAGAAAACTTTGCTACAGATGATGTTTATCACAAGCGATGCCTCTGTTTCGAACTGGAACCTTGTGTACTTGCTTCTGGTTCTAAGATAAACTTTGGTTTGCCGCATAGGGCAGCACAATAATTTGACTACTAAAGCAGTACTATCTCTGTGCGGTTAACTATGCTGATGTGGAACATATTGACATTAATATTTCAAACTACACTCCAGTAGCTGGAATAAACAGGTGAGAATTGGGTAGTAAGGAAAGAACAATTAAGGACTAGCAATACATGATGCTAGATATTGAAGACTAGTAGGGTTTTGTTGACTGCTTAATGCTTATCTTGCATGACTTTTAAACCTTTTAATTTTTCTTGTTGCGTTCTGCTTTAAAGTCAGCACCTTGGTCTTTGGTGATTAATTTCTTGTAATTGGGGATAGTTGCACACTACCTTGTCTAAAGGACCTGCTTAAAACTGGATATTTGCAACAATCTTGGGATGGAGATAACTCACATGCTAGTCATTAGAACAGTAACTAAGGGCATTCTGGACCACCAAACTTTGAAAGAATAGAATCTTAAGAATATAATTATCTGTCAATGAGAGTTTCTAGAGGAGACAAGGCAGAAGACAGGGTATGAGTAATAAAAGTTTCAATCAGAGACTCGCTAAAAGAATGTGAATCATTTAAATAGTAGATTCTGAGGGGCATACTTCACACAAAACAATCATATGTGGAGTCGATTAGAATGAAATATCTATTTCTTCTACTTCTTTACCCTTCATGTGGATCTTTTATAGCTGGCACCCAATCGACCCTCAAAACATCAAGTGCTGAACAGCTGGCACATACTGACTGTTACTTCTGTTTCCTCCCCTAATGGATGAGGAACTTGATGTTGGGGGCATTGCATCTCTTTGTTGTGCATGTAGTTTGCATTTTATATTTGGTAACCATTTTAAATTAACTTTAGTTACTTGATTCCATCAGCCACCATCAATAGTTTCAGATGAGATATGCACTGCATGCGACTTTAATCGTCCTGGCAAAAAGTGTCTCCGGAAGCTTGAATGGGTTTGGCGTGGTGAAACGTACATGGCAAAGAGAAGGTAAACTTTTTAGTCATCTATTACAAAATAGGCAACTTTATATGGATTGCTACTGAAATTTGAAAATTTGTTTATACCAAATATCAGTGATTATTACCACATAAAGAGGCAGCTCGAGTCTGAACTTGTCGAAGTAGGAGATGGTCAACGATCACAGTCTTTTCTTGATTTGCCTAAAGCAGATCAACAAGCAAAGCTGAAGGACCGTTTAAAGAAATATTGTCAAAAGGTAAGTGCTGAGTTTGGTGTGCGATCTTCCTTTCACTTCCTTTTCTAGCACAATTGAATGGTACATTTCGTTCTATTTTCTTAGGCATATAAAAGAGTCCTGGAAAAGCCGGTCACAGAACTTCGAGAAGCAGGGATCTGCATGCGAGAAAATCCTTTCTATGTTGACACTGTACGGAGGTAAGACCTGGTTATGTATCGTTTGTTCATCTATAGTATTTTGATTTGCTGTACTATGACACCATCAGTTTGGAATTTTTCAGCTGTTCCCAAGTTTTCTCATATGAAGTTTTGTTTTCTGTTAAAAGTTTCCGAGATAGGCGATATGAATACAAAGGGCTTAATAAAGCTTGGAAGGGTAAGCTGTCCGAAGCAAAGGCTAGTGGAAATTCCATAAAAATTCAAGAAGCACAGGTGCATTCATGTGTCTTTCTACTAGTTGAGCTCACTCTGGTTTTGATGAGTATAAATAATGTCATATATCGCTAATCGATCTACATTTTCATTGATTTTCACAGGACATGGTAGTTCTGTACGATTCATTGCAGCTGGCTCATAAATGCATTTTGAATTCCTTTTATGGTTATGTCATGCGAAAGTATGTTTATTTGCTATTTCTCAGCACACTGTCCTGTGCTGTTCTATGTAGCAATGTATATCTTCAGGCAATGTCACTACCAAGTTTCCTTTCCCCTTCTTCAGGGGTGCAAGATGGTACTCAATGGAGATGGCTGGAGTTGTTACGTATACGGGCGCAAAAATCATTCAGAATGCTCGGTTATTGGTTGAAAAAATTGGAAAACCCCTCGAATTAGACACAGATGGTATCTGGTGTGCATTACCAGGCTCTTTTCCTGAGAATTATACATTCAAGACAAAGTATGAATTAGTTCTTAAGATGCATTGTTTTTTCAAGTGTTATTGCTATCACCCTTTCTTCTATTCTTGTAAGTTGTAATCCGTGGGTATATATTTATTTTCGAAGAAAAATTCTTTTTTTGTAAAGGTTTATCCTTTATATTAAGAATGGTAACTTTTCTCTGTTGTGATACTGGATATCATGATGATTATGGATATGTATTTCAGAGATCCAAAAAAGAAGCTGGCGATCTCCTATCCTTGTGTTATGCTGAATGTTGATGTGGCAAGAAACAACACCAATGATCAGTACCAGGTTAGAGGGGACACTGGTCCTGTACTTTGCTTGTTTCACTTTCAGATGGTTCTTGCATGACTGTTATTACTTGTGTTGTAACCTTAAAGAAACTAGAAACATCGTTTTCTACTGTATAAAAGAAACTATTGTGTTCTTCCATTTTTCAGACTCTGAAGGACCCCATCAATAAGACGTATACAACACACAGTGAATGCTCAATTGAGTTTGAAGTCGATGGACCATATAAGGTGAAGCACAAACACCTAGCACTTATCTTTAAACAAACTTCAGTGTTCATTTTGTCATCCCTTTTTGGAACTTTCTGCTGTTTAATAAGGCATGATAACTCACTAGAACATAAACTTACCAATTTCAAAAAAGAAAAAACTAAGGCATGATAACTATGTTGATCATCCTTCTAATTTGTTCTTCTGCAAGTAGGCAATGATTCTTCCTGCTTCCAAGGAAGAAGGTATTCTGATTAAGAAGCGCTATGCAGTTTTCAACGATGATGGTACGCTTGCTGAGCTTAAAGGTTTTGAGATTAAACGTAGAGGTGAGCTAAAGCTCATCAAAGTTTTCCAGGTACTCTCTTCATTTGTTGAATACCCAACTTATCCTTTTCTTTCGAGTAAAAGTTGTTTCTTCTTCTCTTATATACTTTCTGAAATCGTTTCCTCAGTTATTGTGTCCATTCACTTGTCACCAATTGCTGTAAAAAAGAAAGAGCAATATCCAGCCTTAATGTTGTTTTAGTTTCTGATTCCAGCCATTTCCTGATTCAGCATAGATTCCATTTTCTTTTGTTGTTATGTCGCAGCTGTCAGATTCTGAGACCCTTTACCATACATATATTTGAATCTGATAGATCTGTTCATCTAGAGCAATATTAAATAGTTCGGTTTGCGGAATGATAAGGGGACATCATTTTCTCCTTGTTTTAACATGTAGAATACTTGGAGTAGGCTTCTTTAAATGATACCACCAGGATATTTGAGAAACTCATCTAAAATGTAGTTCTTTTTTTTTTCTTTTTGAAATTCAGAGGAACTTTAAGATATAAAACGGGTCAGCAATCAATGTTCAGTGTTTGGGAAAATGGTGTAGTAATATGCAAATTGTGACTTTCTCAGTTATTCTCTGGCAAAATGTTTTCTAACAGTTGATGAGACAAATATCTAGGTAACTCAACTTGCTAATTTATAGAACCCCATACCAGAGTACTGTTTCTCAAAATGACTTTACCGTATGCATTTGTAGGGGTAACATATGGTAATCTTGATTTCGAGTAGCTCATATTAAACGTTTTGACCATGGTCTATATCAACTACCAATTGGTACAATGTGTACTCCCGATGTAGTTCTTTCCCTAGTTGACTTATTTGTTATGGCAAATCTTGTGACGTCTTGGGGTTTTCTTTTTTGTGCTCAAAATTAGGATCCACAAGGACTCTAATTCCAGTCTTTTCTTATATAGAAGTCCTAGGCTATACCATGTTAGATAAATGAGTGACTTTAGATGTTGAGAAGAAAAGTAACAAAGAAAAACTAGTTAAAATTGATCTTTTCTACTGTACTAAGAATTCATGTCTGCTGGTTGTTTACATCTAAAATTGTGTGATTCTTTCACATTGCCTTGTGGGTTAGTATTCTTAGGCATTGGTATTCCCATTGCTTGGTATTAGATGTTGTTAAATTCAAGAAGAAGAAGAAGACTTCTCTGTATTTCTTGTGTATTTTACATCTCACCTCAAACATGTCTTTATGCAGAAGTCCTAAACTATTCTAGGAAATAAAATAAAAGTGAATAATGACAGAATATTCAGTTAAGCTAATTATGATACAATCTTCCTACAATCAAGCTATTAATTAAAATATGATTCTTATCCTACAATTAAGCTGGTCAACACGCCCCCTCAAGTTGATGCAAAGATGTCGCACATGCCCAACTTGCAAAGCAGTGTATGGAAAGTTAGTTTGTTGAGACCTTTGGTAAGCACATCAGCTAGCTGTTTTTCTTATAACATATGACACAAACTCAAGACACCACTCGTGACTTTTTCTTTGATGAAGTGCCGATCAATTTCAACATGCTTTGTTCGTTCATGCTGGACTGGATTATGAGCTATACTAATGGCAGCCTTGTTATCACAATTTAAGGAAAGTTTCCCCTTTTCAAACATTCTCAATTCCTCTAGTAGCTTTTGTAACCACAAAAGTTCACAGACACCTTGGGCCACAACTTTATATTTTTCCTCTGCACTTGATCTATCAACTACACTTTGCTTCTTGCTTTTCTAAGTAACCAAGTTTCCTCCTAGAGTTTATAATAGAGATCCAGCCCAATCCGCGTCTGTTAAGGCTTCTAATTAGAGGTGACCATGTTTGGAGAAAAGCAGACATTTTCTGAGAGCAGACTTCTGATGCTGTAAAATGTGAAAGACAACTTGCATATGAGGGTCTCGGGGATCATGCATGAACTGACTCACCGGGTTGACTACTGAATAGGCTATGTTTGGTCTAGTGTGAGAGAGATAAACGAGTCTTTCAACCAGTCTTTGATATCTTTCTTTATCAACTGACTCTTCAATTCCACTTTGTAACTTGTGATAGCTTTTAATAGGTGATTCTGTCGGTTTGCAACATGTCATACCAGTTCGTTTCAAGAGATCAAGAATATACTTACTTTGAGAAATAAAGATTCCTCTTTTTGATCTAGCAACCTCAATTCCCAAGGAGTACTGCAATTTTCCTAGATTCTTGATTTTTTTTTTTTGGCAATCTGCTAGGCAAGCGCCTAGGGCTAATTTTTTATTAATGAAAGAAAAG